TCTTCTTGAAACAATACTGCGTATTCGCGGGTCCCTAGAGGTAACCTAAGAAACTGGTCCCTCGTCAATACATCAATGGGACGCTTAGGTTTCCATCCTTTATGCAGTGCGTTAGGTGTTCGTCCTGTAGAGGTATGAACACTACTATTATATGCACTTGCTATCTTAGGTAATTTCTCATCCGAATCTATTTGATCGGGTCTTATATACATGCGCAGAAGCTGTTGGCACAAACGGTTCATTTGTTCACTCTGCCCATTTGTTTCAGGGTGTCTACTTGACGACATGGTTAGACGTGTACCGTATGCCTCCATCAGCTTTTGCCATGGCATACTTGTGAACCTGGTATCTCGATCAGATACAATGGATAAAGGGAAACCATACTCAGTCACCCATCGCATCTGAAACTTTTGGATCACAAGTTTCATTCTGGCTTTTTCGGGTAAGGGAATGAACATAGCATATATAGAGAAACGATCCACAATTACCACTACCTGACTATTGCCATTCCGACTTTTGGTGAGACTCGTGAAATCCATGGAAATAGACTCACCTGGTTCGCTTGGAATTGGTAACGGTCTGAGAAGACCAAGTGGATTCTCATGTGAGGGTTTTTTTCTCTGACACACAAGACAAGTACGAACATAAGTTAGTACATCCTCTTTCAATCCCTTCCATTCAAAGCGTTCTCTAACTTCAGCGTAGGTTTTCTTGAAACCAAAATGACCTTCGGCRYCGTGACATTCCCCAATAAKYAGACTTTTGATTTCTTCCTGGTGAGGAATACACAATCGTTGTTCAGTTTGGTCTAACAAGAAAAGCAAACCATCAGTTATCTTATAGTTGGGAAGTAGACTTGGGTCTTTCGCAAGGACATCCATGATAGGTTTCCATATAGGATCACAAACATAGCCTTGGCGAATTCTATCTTTCAGATCATTCCCAACTTCTAGGTAAGAGACAATGGCACCAAAGAAATCACATCTTCTAGACAATGCATTTGCAACCACGTTAGACTTACCTTTGATAGTGTTCAACTCAAAATCAAAAGTATCAATGAATGCAGACCATCGTACTAGCTTATCAGAGAGCCTAGGTTGTGTCTTTATCCACTTCAGGGTAGAGTGGTCTGAGTACACATTGAAGTGTCTCCCTAATGGATAGTGTTTCCAGGTGCCTAAGGCACAGACTAACGCATACAATTCTCTTTCATAAGTAGAATTGGCAACTTTTTCAGATGGCAATCGTGCAGACATAAACTCAATTGGTCTGAAACCATTGTTGTCGTTCTGTTGAAGAACTGCGCCAATCCCATACTGACTTGCATCAGTGGTGA